CAGAGACAGAGATAGAGTTAGAGAGAGAGAAAGAGAGAGAGAGAGAGAGAGACAGATAGACAGAGACAGAGATAGAGTTAGAGTTAGAAAGAGAACGCGAAACGACACGCCGTGTATTCGTTGATCGTGAAAAATCGACCTGGCTTGGCCCAGGACACAAAGCTTGGCGCGGTGTTAATTCTTTATTACGTTTCTATCGATTTTATCGCAGTTCAACCTTATTTGCCACGACCAGATTCCTTCGTGTTATTTTCTGAACGAAACTTAGATCTAATCGAATGTGTATAACGAAAAAAAAAAAAAAAAAAAAAAAAAGGAATATCTTTCAAATTTACGATTGCGTTTAAATTTCGTGATAACATTTGAAATAGTTTTATTAAATGTAATTCAAAAAATTCTTTTTAACTATTGGAAAATCGAATTACTGTTTTTTTTTCTTCTTCTTTTTTTTTTTTTTTTTTCTTCTTTTTTTCTTTTCTCCAAAAGAAAATTTTCAATGAATTAAATGTTACGTACGTTATTTGCCTTTCGTTCAGAGATTAACAATTTATTCATTGTTATTGTATTTAAATCACTTATAATTATTCTATGACGTAAAATGTGATTAATTAAAGTCGCTTGTAATTTAAACTTTACTTTTTTTCTTTTTTTTCTTTTTTTTCTTTTTTTTTTCTTTTTCCTTCATAAATAATTACAAATAATATATTTTGTCGAGCCATTCAGATAGGATTAATCGCTAAAAAAAAAAAAAGTTTTAATCAAACTGAAAGATAATTTCTGAGAATGAGTTAAGTCGTTTAATAGATATCGCGAGAGTTATTCATGGTAAGCCGGTATTTTGTATTGGCACGTGTCGTAAGTTTCGCGGAAAACCGGAAGTCTCGTTTTGGAGCATGGAGAAATAAATAGGGGAAAAAAAAAAAAGAAAAAAAAATAATAAAACACAGAGATAGATAGAGAATCGGAGATTAGAGTAAAGGAGGGAGAGAGAAAGAGAGAAAGAGTCTAGTCGAGTTTACAGGCTCCGCTAACCACTGTAATATTAATAATAACCTTGTGTGTGTGGTGAAAGCTTACACTACACTTGGTGTCGCTATTGGTGTTGTATTTTTTTTGGTGTTGTACTTGATGGTTTTTTTTTCTTTTTCTTTTCCTTTTATTTTCTTCTTTTTTTTTTTTTTTTTCTTTTTTTTTCTTTCTTCTCCTTCTTCTTTTTCTTTCCTTTGTTTTTCTTTTTCTTTTTCCTTTTATTTCTTTGAAGAATTTAATTGTAACGACATGAACGGGGAGAGGGGGGGAGGGGGAAAGAAAAAAAGAACAAGAAAAGAAAATTCAAGACTTCTCCTTTCGAAAACGAGTTCAAGAAAAGACTCGTACGTCCGTGAAAGAGAGAAGAATGATGAGCGGAGAATCGTGAATACGCGCTTTCGACCCCATGGACGACGAGAATTCGTTCTTTTTTGCCCTGTTCCTCGATTCAGGCCCCATGCAAAGCTTTGCATCTTTCGAAAGATTCGTCGTCTCATCGTACGAGATAGAGAACATTTCAAAAGCATTTTCTGTGACTCCCTTACGTCGGCTAATTTATTAATATGTCACGAGAATCAGAGAGTGAGAGAGAGAGAAAGAGAGAGAGAGAGAGTGAGAGAGAGAGAGATAGAGATAGAGATAGAGATAGAGAGATAGAAAGATAAAGAGATAGAGAGACATTCGAGTGAAGGAAATTTGGCGCGAGTTTTGAATCTCGTACTACTCTGGCATTTGGCATAGAACGCGCGAGCACATTTGGCACGCCGACGAAAAGTTTTAAATATTGTTGCGTTGGGATTTATTTTCGATGGGGACGCAACATGGTGGGAGTTATAAATTAATGGTTAGCCAATGAGAATAATCGTATAACATAGTAGTAGATACGTGAATGTATGTATTGTACATACGTAAGTTTTGATGCCTCTCGGTGAAGGCGTAATTGGCAAGGATATTGCTTACGTCACATTCTTCTTCTTCTACGCTCTAGCACCACGTGGCAGAGAACGCGTGTCCTCGAATTAGCGTAACGTAGGTGGGATAAGTGAAATTTAACACCGTTCGATCCGCCGACGCGTCCGCGATGCATCCAACACGGAAGCATTTTAACTTTCTCCCTCTCGTTCGATCCAAATTCGTGAAAATATATTTCATCCGAGCTATTAGAAATATTAAGAGATCATTCAAATCTGCTTCCTTTTTTTTCTTTCTTCTTTCCCTTTATTTTTTTTTTCTTTTTTTTTCTTTTTCTTTTTTATATATATGACCGTGATAACGATTCTCGTTAAATTGTATTTTTATATTAATACTTATTAATATATATTAGTAATGAAATTAATAATATATTGATTTTATTCGAATTACGTTGTCATTAATTTCATGATCATTCACATTTATGGATCATTAATTTAATTATATAACAGACATTTGTTTATTCATAAGAAGAAGAAGAAGAAGAAGAAAAAACAAAAAA